GTGCACAAGCTTCAAACTTCAGCGTTGGCTGCGATTTTGAAGCTGAAATCGCGTTCGGTGTGAACGCAGCATTAGAGTCTTTAACAGGTGAGTATTTGAAGATGTTGCTTACGGGCTGGAGAAGGAGATGAGTCTTGGAGGAGTTGGTCCAAAAGGTGAGGTTCCACAGGTGAGTATATACAAGTGCAGGTTTATTTACAGGGATACGTGGCAGGCTGCGCATGAAACCCAGGTGAGTGCGGCTCGTGTTTCTTAGGCAGGAGGCAGGCGTKCTGGAGGTCGCTTCTGGAAACAGGCAGGAAAACAGGTACACAGGTAAGATTATTTCTAAATCTGAATCACAGGTAGCAGGCTGAGCTCATACCCAAACAGAGGCGATGCTTCAGCGACGAGATGAACTCCAGCGAYGAGATGAACTCCAGCACTGCCTTATAAAGCCTGGAGGTGATGAGCTCAATCTGGTGCAGGTGTGGGTGAWCATCGCAGTGCCAAGAACAGGAGGCAGGGGGCGAAAACACCAAAATGCCTCACARTTGTGGCATTAGGGTTGGGCATAATCGTATCGTGTGCAATTAATCGTCAGAAAAACATTAATCGATTAGTTTTTGTCACTTGACGATTAATACGATTAATGCCACCAGGCAGATGGACTGGGGATTACTCCGGTCAGTCCGCTCGCTGCTCCTCTCTGCTTCAAATATGACGAACATTAAAAATAAAGTTCTTTAATTTATCTATCTACACAATTTAATATATGATGTATAGCCTGAAATCTGTAATTTTCACACAATTTGGAACAATTTTTTACAAAGAGCAAATCTTTCCCACTAAATTGGTCATGTGACTACAAATTAAGGCTGTCCAGGGACTCCAGGGGATTAATCGTCAAATTAATCGTTATCGGCTAAATACCACAATACCAATATTGCCCAACCCTATGTGGCATGCCATTTTACAGTTCCAGCATTGCCAGACCTGGCCCACATCCAGTTGGTAAACCACTAGCCTTGYCAGCATCTGGCCCACACCTGTCTGCTATGTGGGTATCTGTTCTCTGCTGGCTACTATTTCCCCTCTGGGAAAATAAAGTTGACCATATCTTGTAAAGTGTTGCATAATGTCATTATATATTCTAATATGTAAGTTATCATACAACTAATTAAACACAATATATGTTTACGCTTTTGACAAGGTGCAAGATGGCAGGTCCAGAGGTTGTGACTCCAGACTCCTCCCAGGACAAATCCAGCCATTTCAACGTGGTATCCTGGTTGAACAGGCTCCTGAAGACAGACTTCGGTGATGTGCGAGAGATGAGCTCAGGTGATTCCTCACTTCATTAAAAACAATTTATTTTGTGCTCCTTAAAGCTATTTTAAAGCTTGTATACTAACATGAGGTCTGGGTGATCTTGTCACAAGTATGCAGCACAAAGCATTGGTGGATTTCTCTTAAAATTTGGAGCCGTGACACACTTTTTTCTGCTTTTCAAATTTGAGGGATTGCTTGATCAGAATTGTTTAAAAAAACATTTATATGCTGTCATGGAAGAGTTGCAAATTTAATAGGAATCTTTGTCATTAGCCTCTTTCATAAGACAGCCCAGACTGGGATTTAAGTCTGGTTCATATTTCAACAAGACATGAAACAACATATACATCATAAAGTCATTTTGGACATCTTTGTCTCATCAAGTGTTTATAGTCAGGCAGAAGACGCAAGGACTAAATCATCATAATTCCTCCCACTCTAGCACATATCACATGCATAGTTAAGCATTTAAACAACAATAGTGATAGTAGGGTAGGCAGGTTGTGTTTTTCATTCAACAGTTTATCAGACTTTAGAAAAGAGCCTCTTATTAGATGAGGAGGACGAAGATTTAGTTTTTCACTGGTTAGCTGCAGAGATGGAAAGAAGACATGGACCTAGGTGGCACGTTTGTGTGCTCAGTAGGACCACGTGYTGTCAAGCTGTCCATTTGTAACAACTGACTTCTGACTTCATCAAAATGACATGCAGAATGAGCATGCACTGTTCCGCATTAACACACCCACGAAGCTCTGACCAGTCACACACTGCGGGTTGCATAGCCTGCAAGTGAGTTAATTCATTGTGTTTTTAAAATGGGTTTGAGGAGACAGCCACCAACAGTGTTCGTASGGGTGCTTGAAATCCTTGAAAATGCTTGAATTTTAACAGAGTCATTTCCAGGTTTGGAAAGTGCTTGGTTTCTGTATAAAGTCCTTGAAAGTGCTTGATATTCTAACAACACAATTCCGTGCTGGATCTCCAGCGTAACGTGGCTGTAGGGGGAAAAGATCGTCTCTGCCCAGAGATTAAAAAAAACATTTCTCTGGACCTATGTCGAGGCGCAGCTGTCACCTTAAACACAATAGGCCTACCAGCCAATCAGAAACAGGGTGGAGGCGGGACTTGTGAACAAGTTTCAGCGGTGCTCAAATTTAAAATAGTTTTTTAGAACAAGTTTGAAGGTGGGAGTAGGAGGAGAAGGAGATGGAACGCTGTTGACGTGGCAGACTTGACAAGGGCGGTAGGCTTGAATTTGTTGGTGGTAGCATAAACTGTGCATTGAATGTAAC